ATCTGGCATGTATATACATGAACACTCACTTTCAGGCAAACTACATTAGAACATTTTATCATTCTGATACACTGGTATTATTTTCTAGCACTAAACATTATATGGCTATAAAAATAAAATTCTCACAAATCAAGATTGTTAATGAATAAATTGATCATAATATAATATTAGTTTGGTTTTAGCAATGATAGAAAATAAATCTATTAGCTATATATATATTTCTTACCTTATAATGATAATGTGACAAGAGGGCATACAAATATATATCACATTTCTGCAATTAGGATTTCTATTATCTTGTTGACTTGGAAAATCTATTATTTCTTCAATCAAAGTGCCTTATCTGGAGGATTTTTTTTAAACTCCTAAATATTATTTTGTCATTTGGTTAAAAAGACAACCACCATTAACACTTTAGAAAGCCATGATTAACAGAAGAGCCAGGCAATATCATAAAGAAATTGTGGACTGAAGGAGGTAGAAGACTTTGTTTTATCTCATTAGCTTTGAGGTATTAGGCAACTCATTTAAAATCTTCCTTAGTTTCCATTCCCTTATTTTAAAAACAGTAGACAGAGTAAGTGAGCATATCTAATAATCTCCAAAAGTCCCTCTAAACCGTAACTAAAATTAGCAAGGAAAAAAAAATCTTATGCAACCAGAATCAGAATACAAAGCTGCTGAATAGATGAAAAAAGTAGCATAGATATATTTAGATATAGATATGAAAATTATTAGTACATGCAGGCTACTGTACTTGAAATAATTTCTCTTGGCTACTCCCAGCTCTTATCACTTTTAAGAAAACTGATGACATGAAGACAGCAGGTTTTGACATCATTATTCTTAGCAAGGCTTTGTATTTTGTTTTTATTCTTCTCAAGAATAAGTATGTTTGGATTTAGCTTCTGAGAAGGATGTAGGACATCATGGTGGAGCAACACTCAACAACCAGGAAAAAAAATCTGATATACTTTAAAAATTATTTTTATGATCAAATTATGGAAGAAATAAGAATTTTGGATTAACTAAAATTCCAAAGATAAAAAAGCCTTTCCTATGTAAGCTGACAATTACTAGCTGTTTTCTTTCCTGAAGACATTTGCTAATTCTTGGTGTGAGTTAAGAATAAGATTTGAACCAAGAGGAGAAACTATGTGAAGAAAGAGAAACTAGTAGGGCTTTTCATATTCTCAAGGGTTGTCATGACAGTTTGGAAACCAAATGAGTACCAAATACAGAGTTGATTTCTTTCAAGAAATATTTGTTGAGTCCTGGGAGGTGTGAGAGGCTGCAGGTCTGGATCTGAAACTTTAAAATGGTAGCTTGAAATCTCCCACGCACATAGTGTTTATGAGACAAAGTCTCACTAGAGAGAAGAACTCTGTAACAAACACATAACTAGTCTCCCCTCAAGCAATGTACCAAAATTGAAGGTGCATGGGTGGCAGGCTAATGGGCTAATCTCAAACCCTCTAAAGGGAAGTTCCAAAGTCAAGAAGACAAAGATCTGCCTCTCACACAAAAGTCTAGAAAAGCCATGCCAAAGAAATGGGCAAAACAAAAGTAGACCGAGTTTTAATAAAACTCCAAACTAACTATTATCTATCTAAATGTCTGACTGGACAGAGCTCCTATTGCAAAGAAGGGGGAGTAGTACCCTTACTGAAGATAACATCTGGGGTACCTAAGGTTCATTTTATAAACAATGTTAGAATTGCAATACAAGGTTGCTAGGTACAAAGAGGCCAAAAAATGTGACCAATACCCAAGGAGAAAAAAAAAGCAGAACCAGAAATGTTGTTTAGCAAATAAAAATTTAAAATACTAAGGCTGGCTGGGGGCAGTGTGACTCACACCTAGAATCTCAGCAATTTGGGAGGCTGAGGTTGGAGAATTGCTTGAGGTCAGATCAACCTGATCAACACAGTGAGACCCATTCCTATAAAAATTTAAGTAAATAGATAAGGCTAATATCTTAAAGAAAAGGGTAAAATCTGGGGTAAAAGAATGATAAGATGGCTAATCTCACCAAAATTAGAATCCATTTCTTAAAAAGAAGAATTAAATGAACATCCTAGAACTGGAAAATGCAGTATCTGAAATTTAAAAATGAGTTTCATGGCAGGCTAGACACACAAGCAGAGAGAATTAGTAAACTCCAGCACAAGCTGACAGCAAATATCCATTCTGAAGCACAGCAACAACAACAACAACAACAAATGGAAAAAACAAAACAATGCTCCTTTTCATATATATATCTGTCACCTATGTGTGTGGTATTGTTCTGTTTCAGGGCTCCAATCTGTCCTGGCCTTGTTTCTTCATCTTTGTGTCTATACCACACTGCTTTAATTACTATAAAGTAGAACAAATCCCACTTCCTGTTCTCTGTTATTAATGATCATCATGGCTACTTTTAGTCCTTTGCAAATCCATACAAATTTTAGAATCACATTACAAATTTCTGTGTAAAAGCTATTGTGATTTTTGAATGGGTTTGCATATGGGGGGGTATCCAAAACCCCTGAAATTTAATTATTAGAAATTGTGTGTTTATTCTTACATGTTTAAACATCAGTCATCTTCAACGTATTCTCCCTTTGACACACTATACCTACAGAGTCGCTTTTTCCACTGCTCAAAACAGTGTTTGAACTTGTCCGCTTTGATGCCTTTTAGTGTCTCTGCCATTTTGTTCCACCTCTTCTGCATTGGAAAACTATTTCCCTTTGAGGACTTTTTTCATCTGAGGAAACCAAAAAACATTGCTTGGGATAAGACTGGATGAATAGAGAGGGTGGGGCATGGAGATCACGCCGTTTTTGGTCAAAAACTGCTGAAACTCAGCCATGTGGGCAGGTGCACTCGTAAATCACCCAAAAAGAAACTGGCAAATGCCTTGAAATATTAAAAAAAAAAAAAATTCACTGAAGCCAAACACAGCCTCTCACAACAATGATAGCTGGTACACTGATGTCAGTGGGTTCCTAGAACACTTACCTAGCAGAGGAAGCCTGTACTACAAGGGGCCTGTCCTCAAAAATAAAAAATTCCAGTTTTATGGGGTTCTCCCCTTGTACACATTAACTTGAGGAAAATTGACATTTAACACTATTGAATCTTTCAATCATGAAAGTTTTGATCTTTATAATTATTCAGGTCTTTCTGAAAAATGTTCTCTCATTGAAGTTTTTTCGTTTTCTCCATAGTGATTTTCACATCTTACATATATATATTCCTTTTTTTTTTTTTTTAAGAGTCGGAGTCTCACTCTGTTGCCCAGGCTGGAGTGCAGTGGCACACTCAGTCACCCCTGCCTTGACCCGCTGGGCACCAGCTTATCCTTCCACCTTAGTCTTCCAAGTAGGCAGAACTACGGGCACACGCTACCACGCCCAGCTAATTTTTTGTTTGTTTGTTTTCTAATGTAGAGACGAGGTCTCGCCAAGTTGCCCAGGCTGGTCTTGAAGCCTCGGGCTCAGGCAATCCACTTGCCTCGAACTACCAAATCCTGGGGTTACAGGCTGAGTCACTGAGCTCGGCCATATATAAATATATATTCTTAAGAAATAGATACCTTTTGACATTTTAATAAATATAATCTTTACAAATTTTTATTTCTAACTGGTTGGTGTTGGAATATAGAAATACTATTGATTTTGTATATTGATTTTTGTACCCAACAATCTTGCTAAGCACTTATTAAAATTCATAATTCATCAGTTGACTATTTTATATTTCCTACCTATACAATAATACCATCTATGAACACGAAGTTTATTTCTTCTTTTCCAATTCTTATCCATTTTCCTTTTTTTTGAGTAGGAGTCTCACTCTATTGCCCAGGCTGGAGGGCAGTGGCATGCTCACAGTACCGCAGCCTTGACCTGCTGGACTCAGGCAATTCTTCTGCCTCAGCCTTCCAAATAGCTGGAACCATAGGCATGTACCACCATGCCCAGCTAATTTTTCTTGATTTACTGTAGAGATAAGGTCTCACCATGTTGCCCGGGCTGGTCTTGAACCCATGGGCTCAGCAATCCTCTCACCTTGGCCTCTCAAAGTGCTGGGATTATAGGTATGAGCCACTGTGCCCAGCCCATTTTCCTGTTTTTGTCTTACGACACTGCCTTGAACTCCAATACAACAATGAACAGAAGTAGTAATAATAGGCATTTTTGTGTTATTTCTGATTTCAGAAAAATTTTAAAATGTTTTACCTATAGTTATATGTTTTTGTATTTTTATTTTTTATAAAATTTATTTATATTTTATATTTTGTATCGTAAGTATTTTATCAATCATAAATGTTTTATTATGATACTAAAGAAGTTCCCTTCTATTCCTTTTCTGTAATGAGTTTCTTTAATAAATGAATGCTGGGGGAGTTGGGGAATAGAAAAAATATAATAGCAAATGAATGCTAATTTTCATTTGTCAGGTTTTTGTTTTTTTTCATTCATCTGTTGCAGTGGTCCCCAACCTTTTTGGCATCAGGGACCGATTTCGTGGAAGACAATTTTTCCATGAACCAGGCAGTGGGGGATGGTTTTGGGACAATTCAAGTCAATTACATTTATTGTGCACTTCATTTATATTATTATTACACTGTAATATATAATGAAATATATAGCATCACTGCCTCAGCTCCACTCAGATCATCAGGCATTAGAGTCTCATAAGGAGAGTGCAACATAGATCCCTCACCTGCACAGTTCACATTAGGGTCTGTGCTCCTATTAGAATCTAATGCCACTGCTGAAAACCATAATCATATAAATAGTAACAACTTCAAAGAGCCCAGGAGGTTTGTAAGATTTATAACCTCAACAATTTAGAATTATCTAAAGAAATATAATCCCACCTATTACCAAAATAAAAACTTGTAATCTATGGAAGTTTAAAAACTAAAAGTTAACGTTGCCATCAGTTTCTCATAGATAAGCCACAGAGCTTAGGGAGAAAAGGAGTATAGTAAAAAGTTTTGGTTTATATACCTATAACAGGATGCACCATAGGGACATTCAGGCCGGTCATCTGTTTCATCTTGACCCATGATTTGTATACTTTGATAATCACTATCCCCGGGGTGGCTGAAGTGTTGAAAATGAACAGGATTCTTCCTAGGAGGTGGACAAATATACTGTCAGAAAAAAACAAATTAGTAGGATATTCTAGATTTTAAGACGATATAGCAGGAAACCAAGCACTATATACCTGATTATTTCAGAATATGCACCAACATGCTACATTGATGACATGAACATAGGTGGCATCAACCTGCTACACTGACAACATAAAGTTAATGGCATTTAGTCAGTATAAGACTCATGGTAACATAATACATTTCTGATGTCACAAAATAGGCCATGAATGTCAACAGACAATTGGCAAATATTACTATATATAGAACATATAAGTGTATAATATATATATGAATATCATAAGCATATATAGCTTTTAAAGACTTTTATAAAATGAACACATATATGCAACCTCTGCTACAATAAAAACCAAACCATTAACAACATTTTAGGAAGTTCCCACACACCCTTTAATCATTAAACCCATTTTACTACCAAAGTTAACAATTCTGTCTTCTAAAAGTGTTTATCAAACTTTTTTGGTCTCAAGATTCCTTTTCACTCTAAAAAAATTATTAAAGTTACAGAAAGCTTTTGTTTACATAGGTTTTTTACCTATGTATTTTATTTTATTTGAAAATAAAAATGCTATTGAAAAAATATACTTATAGATTTAAATAAAATAATAAATGCTTTATATGTTATCATAAATATCTTAACATAAAACTCTTAGTTTCAAAAAATTCATAGAGATGTTGTTTTATACTCTGAACATTTCCTTAATGTCTGGCTTAAGAGAAGGCAGCTGCGTTCTCACATCTGCTTCTATATTCAATCATTAACAATAATATATGTCATGTGAACTCTAGAAAACACTACAAAGGCACAAACAAAACAGTCCTAGTATTATTATGAAAATAGTTTTGACCTAATAGATATCCTAAAAGTGTTCCAGGGATTTCTAGGAGTCTTTGGATCATAATTTAAGAAGTGATATTATAAAACAACAAATCAGTGTTGTCTGTTTTTGAGTTTAAATGGAACTATATACTAGAAGGTGCCTCTTTGAGTCTGCCTTTTTATGTTTTTATATTTAACCCATATTGCTACATGTAGCATTAGTACATTTTCATTACTATGTAATATTCCATTTTATGAATTATTACAATTTATTCATTTAAAAAATTGATACATTTAAAAAGTTGATGAACTTTTGGGTGCATTCCAACTACTGACTTTTAAAAAAATAATACTGCAGTGAGGATTCTAATATAAGCCTTCTGGAGTACATATATGTTTTCCTAGGGATGCAGTTAGTACTGCTCATAGGGTATGTGTACAGTCAATTTAGTAAATATTGCCAAATTTCTAAAATGAATGTACCCATTTTCACACCCACTAGCAGATTCTTAGAGTTCCAGTATTTCAACAATCTCAAAAACATCTGATGGTATCAGGTTTGTTTGTCTGTTCATTTTAATATAGTAGTAGTTATAGCAGAGCTTGGCAAACTATTAACAGCAAGTCAAATCGGGTCCACTGCTTTTTATTGATTGTGGTAAAAATAATACGTAACATAAAACTGACCATCTTAACAACTTCTAAATGTACAGTTCAATAGTGTTACGCATGTTCATATTGTTATGCAATCAATCCCAATGTTTTCATCTCCCCAAACTGAAACTATACACTCATTAAACAACTTCCCAGCATCTCCCTTCCCTCCACTCACATCCACCATTCTAATTTCTGTTTCTTCCCCCAGCCGCTGGTAACCGCTGTTCTAATTTCTCCTTTTATGAGTCCAACTACTCTAGATACCTCCTGTAAGTGGAATGATGCAGTGTTTGCCTTGTGATGGGTTTATTTCACTTGTGGTCCTCGAGGCTCCTACATGTTGGCGCATGGGTCAGAATTGTCCTCGAGGCTCATCCATGTTGGAATACGTGTCAGAATTGCCTTTCTTTGTAAGGCTGGATAATATTCCACCGCTTGTACACGTCACATTTTGTTTATCCGTTCAGTAGCTGATGGGCATTTGGGTTGCCTCCAGCTCTTGGCTACTGTGAATGGTGCTGCTATGACCATGGGTGTGCAGCTAACTCTTTGAGATCCCGCTTTCAATTCTTTTGGATATATGCCTAGAAGTGCAATTTTTGTATCATATGGAGATTCTGTTTTTAATTTTTTGAGGAACTCCATACTGTTTCCCACAGAGGCTGCACCATTTTATACTGTCACCAACAATGTACAAGATTTCCAATTTGTCCACATCTTCACCAACACTTGTTATTTTCTATTTTGTTTTGTTTTTGAAAGTAGTTAGCCCAATAAGGGTGAGGTGATATCTCACTGTGATTCTGATTCGCTTTTCTTGAATAATTAGTGGTGCTAAGCATATTTTCAAATACTTTTGGTTGTTTGTATATCTTCTTTAGAGAAACGTCTACCCAAGTCCTTTCTCCATTTTTGAATTGGGTAATTTGTTTTTTGGATGCCGAGCTGTTAATTCACTCTGTTAATAGAGTCCTTTGATGAACAGAAGTTTTTAATTTTGGTATAATCCAATTTGTGTTTTTTTGTTTCTGTTGCCTGTGCTTTGGTGTGATACTCAAGATATTGTTGTCAAACTCAGTGGCATGAAGATTTTCCCCTATGCTTTCTTTTAAGAGTTTTATATTTTAGGTCTTATATGTAGGTCTTTGATCCATTTTAAATTATATTTTGAATATGGTTTAAGGTAAGCATCCAACTTAATTCTTTTGCATGTGAATATCCAGTTTTCCTAGTAGTATTTATTGAAAAAAACTATCCTTTCCCCCATTGAAATTGTCTTGACATCATTGTTGAAAATTATTTGACATATATGAGGATTTATTTCTGGGCTTTCTAGTATATTCCATTGGTCTACATGTCTGTCTTTATGCCAGTATGACACTGTAGTTTTGTAATCAGTTTTCAATTCCTCCAACTTTGTTCTTTCTAAAGATTGTTTTGGCTATTTGGGATCCCTTGAGATTTTATATGATTTTATGATAAATTTTTCTACTTCTGTAAAAAATACATATATATTGGAATTTTGATAAAGATTGCATTAAATCTGTACGTCACTTCAGGTAGTATTAACAGCTTCACTTCCTATGTGTTTGCGCAATATGACAGCAGAATTCAGCAGTTGCAACAAAGACCATATGGCCCAAGAAGCCAAAAATATTTACTGCTTGGCACTTTAAAAACTTTGACAACCCTGATCTGTAGAATTGTGTTTTAAAATGTTTCTCCAATAACTAATTATGCTAAAAATCTTCTTACATGCTTATTGGCCATTTGAATATCCTCTTTAGTGAAGTGCATTTTGCTTTTTTTTTTTTTAACTGAGCTGGATATCATTTTCTTACTGATTGCTAGTTATTTATATTGGATACAACTCCCTTGACATATGTATAACAAATATCCTCATCTACTTTCTGCTTGCCTTTTAAATATTATATTTCAGCTGGGCTTGGTGGCTCAGCCTGTAATCCCAGCACTTTGGGAGGAAAAGATGAGAGGATTGCCTGAGACCACGGGTTTGAGACCAGCCTGGGCAACATGGCAAGAGCCCATCTCTACAATAAATCAAAAAATTAGCCGGGCATGGTAGCATGTGCCTGTAATTCTGGCTACTTGGAAGGTTGAGGCGGAAGGATCGACAGACCCCAGCAGGTCGATGCTGCGGTGGCCGTGAGCGTGCCACTGTACTCCAGCCTGGGCGATGAGGTGAGACTCTGACTCAAAAAAAGTAAATAAATAAAATATTATATTTCAATTTAATGAAAAAGATAATTTTAATATAGTCCAATTGATCAACTAGATTACATTATTATGATTTCTTTGTTTTACAGACGCTTGAGAAATTTTTGTCTGTCCCATGCCATTAATACATTAACTTTTCTATGTTATCCTCTACTAACTTTATTTTTATTTTACATTTAAAATTTTTTTACTCCACCTGAAATTTATTTTTGTGATACGTATGAGGCAGGAGTTAAGATTCATTATTTTTCATATAAATATCCAATTACCAAAAACCACTGATCAAAAGTTCATGCTTAATCCACAGATCTGCAGTGAGACTTTTGACATAAATACAGACATGTATATTTGGTTTTGGACTCTGTATTATTTTGCATTGTCTATCCTTATACAAATACTACAATGCATTATATACTGAAGCTTTATAATAAGCCTTGATATCTGGTAGTGTCTGTCAAGTTTGCACTTGATTAGATTCGGTATTCTAGATCCTTTGCTATTCCACTGTAAAGTCAGTTTATCAACTCACACACACACAAACACACATGGGTACACATGCACACACATCCTACTGGGATTTTGACAAAGACTGCTTTAAGTTTATAGACCAATTTTTTTACAATATCAAGTCTTCCAATTCATATACCCATTTATTTAAGCCTTATTTAAATTTCACCATCATGTTACTATATGTCTTGCATATCTTTGTCAGATATAGCCCTAAAGGTATTTAAGGTTTGACACCATGGCAAAAGTTATCATTTAAAAATTTCTAATATTTATTGCTAGGATATAGAAATACGTTTATTTTTCTTTTTTTTTTTAATCGATATTTTTTATTTTGATATTGTGGGGTACAGTTAAGGGTTAGGTATACAAATATGCTTCATTCAGGCTCCCTTGTTGATAACTGGTGTCTCCCCATCTCCAGACAGATGTTTACTACCATTAGTCCCACCCCACCCCCATAGTTTCCCAACACTGTCAGTCACTTTCTTATAATAGTGCATTGGATGATCAAGGTCCACTATATGAGTGAGAATATGTGGTACTCAGATCTTTGTTTCTGTGAGAGGTCACTTAGTATTATAGACTCTAGCTCCATGCGGAATGCTGCAAAACTCATGATTTTGTTCTTTTTCATGGCTGCATAGTATTCCATCATGTATATGTACCACATTTTTTTTTATCCAGTTCTCTTTTGATGGACAGCGTGGTTGGTTCCAGGTTCTAGCTATTGTGAA